TATCTGGACAGAGACTTCAAACTCAAAGATGGACTAGGTCAATCCGTGGATTCTGAAGAGATTTCATCGTGCTTGGAGTGGCCAGATCGGCAGTAATTCAGAACTGTTGAACTATTGAAAGCTTTTGAGCAGGACCCTCGGAGCATGCCTCACACTGGGGACCGTGGGGTGATGTCAGGTGGCTGTCCTCCATCCCAGGGTGCAGAGGCATTTGGGAGGCTGGGTGAGGCTTCTTGCCTTATCTGCCCCTTTCCCCCAGATACAGGAAGGAAATAAAGAGAAAGCGGACATGGTGGTCCCATCCACATTCTTGTAGCCCTTGACCCTTATCCCCCTAATCAACTATGTAAAAAAATCAACAAAAAATAAAGAGAACTACAAAAAGTATGAGGTTTAGAAATCTTCTTCACACAGATGGTGGTTCACAGCTCAAGAGCTCGAGGGACAGAACACACAAGTGGGTGGAAGCAGGTGAGGGGGAAGCAGGTGGTGTGGGGGGCAGGACCATTTAGAGTGGGTGAGTTATAGACCTTCACAGGTATGCCTTCTCATTTGTCAGATGGAGATGATTATATCTGCCTTGTAGAATTACAAGTATTATATAAGTGATTATTTTCAAAAGTTAGTGCCTGGCATAAGGAAGGCACTTGGCAAATGGTAATTGTTATTATGGGGGCTAGAATCATGGAATAAAAAAAGAAAAAGAAAAAAAAAAAAACCACAGGGAGAAAATTTACATCAGTGCCAGACATATCTTTCTTTTAAAAAATTGTTTATTTGAAAGTCAGATTTGCAGAAAGAGAGACAGACACAGTGAAAGAGATCTTTCAGCCACTGGTTCACTTCCCAGGTGGCTGTAGCAGCCAGGATCAAGCCAGCAGCAGAAGCTGCTTCCCGATATGGGTGGCTAGGACCCATCATCAAGGAACTGGATCGCAAGTGGAGCAGCCAGGACATGAACTGGTGCTCCACACTGTTATTTATTTAAAAGTTAAAGTTCTTAACGTTATTATGCCAGCTAATTCCTGCAGCCTGGTTCTTTTACCGTGAGCCGAAAACATCAAACGCAACAAGGCATTTTAGGAGGTTTATTCCAGCGGGGCAGGAACGGGATGGAGGTGGTGGAAGGACGGCAAGGACAGACCAGATATAGGCACCTGGGGCTCATTATGTTCAGGTGAGCCCGCCAAAGCACAGCCGGGCGGGAGTGGGAGGGATTGAAGGCAGGCGCCAGGGGATTGGTGCCTGTAAATGAATGCCTGCGGATAACTGGTAAGTGGGCGTGGTGAGGAAGGGGCTTGGAGATACCTGGTGAGAGTCTCAGGTGATGCCGATGGTCTGATTGGTGATCAGGTGAACTGGCGGCAATCTCGTGAGCCAGGAAGAAGAGAAAATGGCTCCGGGTCCGGGGGGGCAGGGTCACAGTCTCCATGACAACCTTCAAACCGCTCCCTACACACACCACAATGCCAGTCCCAATGTTAGGTGTTAATGAAAGGGTGCAGCCTGAGGAAAGACTATTTTGATGTTTATTTTAATGAAAAATTCTGAATAGTAATTCCCCCAGTTCATAAACATGTTCCTGGACTCTGGAATAGCTTTCTTTAGAAACACTACCTTGCTTTCTCTATTACTGTGTTATTTTAACTGAACTAGAGATTAGGAACTCCGATCACTGATCCTTCTTGGGCCTTTGGTTGCTATGACCTCTGCCCCAAACCTCTGGCCCTCACCATTCCACACAGTTGGGCAGGGAATTCTTGTCATTCTTGAATGTGGCCTTAATGCTTCGCCTTTGTTGACGTAAGTCGGCCCTGATTCGTTGCACCCTTGACTGCCTGAGTAGATAAACAAGAATTCAATCTCAGCGATGTTAAGTTCTGTGTTTCCCAAAGCAACGCCAAAGGGTCAGGAACACAACAGGAGCTGTTGTGCAATCTCAAGTGTGTTGTAATTCAGAGGAAACAATCTCAGAACACTTAGGAACAAAATGTTTCAGAACGTAAATAAAAGGCGAGCTAATGTGCACTTCTTGCTGTTGTTAGCCATTAAAATGAGTGCTGGGCTCATGAGCCCAAAACCTTAATAATATTTAGAAAGAGGCTGTTGAGAACGGAAGCAGCAGCCATCAGAGCTGCCCCGCAGGCTGTGGTACCCAGCCCTGCCTCCTTGATCTCAGTTTCTCGAACATACTGTTGTGCCAGATTTTGAAATCCCCAGATAATCATCAAGTCTAAAGTCGGTGCTAAGGCATAAAGGTGATTTATTCAGGTTAACCTAGGTCTCTCAGCCACCTCCCCCAGCCTAGCATGGCTGGGCGAGGGAGGGGCAGCCACAGCAAGGCTGCTAGAATCCGCAGGGTGGACAAAAAGAAGCACAAGCCAGAAGAGAGAGCGAGCGCCCAAGCCCCCCAGTTCTTATACACTTCAGGCTATTAATTATACAGTCATAATTTAGCGGGCTTCTATTGGTGGGTTTGAAACAAGCAACTTTCAAAAAGTACAAATTGATAAGCTACTGGGCTATGAATCTTATCAAACACCAGGCACCTCCTTCCTGAGGAGTGGTCTGCCTACGTGACCTGCCAGATGTCCTGCCGGGTGTCACGTAGACTGTCAGGCGTGGAGTTCACACAGCCCCCCGCCAAACCATTAAGGCAGAATCACAAAAGGCAGAAAACGCCTAGGTTCTTCAATACCATCTCTTCATATTGGGCTGATGCACATGCTGCTGTTAGGCCGAAATACTCTTTAATTCATCCTTTGGTGTTTATCTGAGAAGGCACTTCCACAAGGTGCCTTAGATCTCCTCCCCTGCTTCCTCCCCAGACACAGAGCCTGACACTGTGCTGGCTGAGAGCAGGGCCGTGTCTAGCACGCTCCGGGGTCTTTTCCAAGCTCCGGCAGCAGAGCACACGGTCACGCCCTCCGTGAGTATTTGATCAAGTCAACATTTACTGAGTGTCAGGTGCATAACTGCGCTGGCTCCTCAACGCAACCTTCAGGAAAGACAACATTCTCACTTACAGATGAGGAAATGCAGGCTAAAGAATATAACACACAGAGGCAGAAAAAGTCACCTTTCCTCCTCTTAAGGTCCTGGCTGGTTCTGAGATTTTAATTGTTGATTAACAGAGGCCCGAAGAGGCCGTTGGTGTCGGTTAGTTGTAATAAACTGTGAGAATGTGATAAGGCAAAGGAGCTAATTCATTGGATAGCTAATTCATTGGATAGAAAAGTAGCCATGAAGACAAGGGGTTCATTTAGCCAGGTCTGTTTGTATAGAATTCCTTTGACCTCAACTTTCTTATCCTTGTTGATAGAACTGTATCTTTCTAGTTTAGAAAGAGTTTTTTTTTTCCCCCCTTGGGGAGATTGCACCTGCTGTCTTTAAGAAGCAGTTATCTGTTGGGGGCTGCTGGGGGTTTTTGTTTTACATCCCCTGGCTCCAGGCATCCCAGGGAGCTCTGTATTGTGTACTTGAGGCAGTCTGTGTCCGCTGTCCTGGTAGTCTAACCAGGAATGATGGGTTCAGACAAGGGCTTACGTCTCCGTCAGGGGGGAAGGTGACTCAGTTCCTCACTGTGATTGGAGCTTCAATACACTTACCTTTGCATGCCATGCTACACAAGTTTAACATTTTCTAGGTACTAGTATTTATCTGAAATGCAGAGATGCATAAACATCTTCCACGGTTCACTGCCACAAACGCCCGCAACAGCCGGAGCTGGGCCACCCCAAAGCCAGAATTGAATCTGGGCAGGGCCCCAAGTATTTGAACCAACACCTTCTGGTTCCTAGATTGCACAGTAGCAGGACGCTGGGATCAGGAATGGGGTTGAGACACATCCAGGTACTCCATATGGGACTGGGCATTTAAGGTAGCATCTTTCTGAACCACTATGCTGAGCAAACATCCTAACTGGAGGTTCTGCAGAGGTAGACATAATCTTTCCATCTGGCCTTGGACTTTGGAAAGATTAAGACTGGAAGTGCTCTGCCAGCTCGTTACCGAACAAGGCAACCGAGAAGAGAGCAAACACAATGCCAGCAATGCTTGGCTTCCAAAAACACTATTGGTGACACGCTCAACCTGTGCCTGAGCCTCTGTCCCTTGTGCTTTTCAAAAATCTGAGTCAGCAAAGTCTTTTTGTCTGCTTAAACTTGCTGGCATTGGGTGTTCTGTCACTTGCAATCAGAAGAAGCCTACTCAAAATAATCTGGAAGTTATATAATAAATGTAACAATATTTTTCCCTTTGTGCTTGTTTTCCTCTTTGCAAGGCTCAAATCACTTCTTTGGGCGCTTATAGTGATAATAAATTCATGTTCTATGACCTGAGCGAGAAAGCGGTAAGACACTGGGCACAGATCTTGTCAAGGCCGATTTTGTGTTTGGGAAGAATTGGGGTTTTGAGACTTGCTCATTAACTTGGGGGTTGATCATATGAAACGTTATGTTTTTATTCCTCTTCACGTTAGTTTTGTCTATACAGAGTGAGGATACAACACTTGGATGAAAAGACACTGATAAGAAAGTGCCTGCGGGATGATGTTGTGGTACGGCTAGTTAAGCTGTATGATTCAACGCTGCCATCCCATATGGGTCTCGGTTCAAGTCCTAGAAGCACCACTTCCCATCCAGCTGCCTGTTAATACCCCGGGAAGCAGGGGAAGATGGCCCAAGTGCTCAGTCCCCTGACAACCATGTGGGAGACACAACTAAAGCTACAATAACAACAGTGACAACCATCTGGGGAGTGAAGCAGCAGAAGCAAGATATTCTCTCTCTCCCCCCATCTCTGTCTGTCTGTTTCTCTCTCTCTCTCTCTTCCTCCCTCTCTCTCTCTCTCTCTCTCTCTGTAGGTGTATGTCCAGCTGCCTGCTTCTAGAGAGGAAAATCTGGTCGAATAGTTTGATTGTCCACATTGAAGGCAAGGCCTCCCAGAGACACCTAGAAAAATGAAAACCAAACTAGCAAACACACAAACCATTCATTTCATTTCCATTTCTAAATTAAATGTGAATTTATTCATTGATTTGATACTAAAAGAGTGCAAAATAATCTCAGAGCATTGTATTCATGAGAAGACATACAAACACCTGTTAGAAACCTTATTCTTAATTTCATGACTGATCACGGATCAGCCTGAAGCACTTGTGGTGACGTAACATCGTTTCCATAGTTGCAAAGAACAAAGAAATTGGGGGGAAGGGATGAATTTGATCAGCATTGTCCAAAAAAAACCTGTGTCTACTTTTTACAGAATCACCAAATGCTTGACTTGGGGTCCACCGTGACTAATGCCAGGGTCCCCAACGACATAAGGCTTTCCTGGTTCCAAGAAGCCCTTATTTTGTTTTCAATGTGCTGTATTTAACAAAGCATATGCCAGACAGCAACAACAAAAAGAACCAAGAAATTTAACTTCCTCGTGAAGTTTCGTGATTACACTGAAGTGTCGGGTACAGCTTGCCTCTACAGAATTAAGGACTGTCATGCAAGTAAACACATCCCAATGGGGTGCTGGAACAAAGGACAGCAAATCTAGACTGGACGAAGTGTGGCAGCTTGACCAGTGACACTAGCAGTAACAAATAGGTTCAGATTCCTTACTCAAAAAATCTGTGCCACCTGGACTTGGATGTTCACTCAGTATTTCTTCTTCTGTCTGTGAGTTGCTAAGTTCCATTCACTCTCCCTTTCCAAGTGTTCTGTGAGTGACTCACTGTGCCTTAGCACCAGGCCACCAGGGCTCAGAGAGGGGCAGATTAACATTGCTTGGGAAACAATTTGACACAATCAGAGAAAACCTTCAAGTTACTGAATAAGGTAAGGTCTGGGGGTGAGGCTGGAATTCAGTTGTGAACGCCCCCTGTTCCCTCTGAAGGATGAGTTCAAAGCTGAGTGTTTGATCTTGCCTTTGATTCTAAACTGCAAATAACAGGAGCTTTTAAGGTTGACAATCAGCTTCACCTAAAGCAAGGTTTTCCCTTCTCCGGGCTGGTACTTTCAACGTAAGACGCGAGCCTTCCGTGGCTCGAGCTGCCCGCCCTACTTGATTGCATAGCCATAAATGTGAGGTCGCACCAGCTTCCAGGACAGCGGGGCCTGGATGCGATGCAGCTTCAGCTTGGAGAAGCCGGCCCGCTCCAGGGCCTTCCAGCTCTCCCTGGTGAGGTTGCAGCCATCAAACAGGAGGAGCCAGACAGGGTTCAGGACCTGCTGCCAGAAGTGAATCCAGGTGGAGCGCTCTGCTGCCACGTGCTCCATGAAGTAAAACGCCCCTCCCTGGGGAAGGAAGAAACATTTCAAAAAATTGAATGTCAAGAAAACAGATGAATAAGTTGACTGAAGCTTCAAGTTTCATGGGTCCCAGTGACCCGATACCGGAGAAGACATGGATAAATTTAAACTGTACCAGACTGACTTTTGCCCAGCCGTTTCGTGTTTCGTTACATTTTATATGGCACTCGGAAGCAACCGTGTGCACTGCTGATGGCACAAGTAAGCTTCATGTAAACAGCACTTACAGTAGGGCGAGAGCTGTACTCTGTCCTCGACTCTCAACTTCCATCTTCACCGGTTAATCTCCCAACTTTCATACGTGAAGAGATTGGGTCACACCCGAGAAGATAACTGACCTAACACGTCATGGCTTGTAATTGTCAAACCACGCGTCAACATTCAGTGGCAGTCTGACTTCAGTGCCTAGCAGCATTGTCTCAGAGGTTTATCTATTAGAAAATTGGGGCGGGGGTTGTGTGATAGCCTAGTGGCTAAACCCTCGCCTTGCACACACCAGGATCCCATATGGGCACCGGTTCATGTCCTGACTGCCCCACTTCCCATCCAGCTCCCTGCTTGTGGCCTGGGACCCTGCATGCCGGTGGGAATCCCAGAAGAAACTTCTGGCTTTAAATTGGTTCAGCTCTGGTCATTGCTGCCACTTGGGGAGTGAACCAGAAGATAGAAGGTCTTTCTCTATGTATCTTCTTTTCACTGTGTATCTGCCTATCCGATACAAAAAAATAAAATAAGATAAAAATAAATCATAAAAAAGAAAGACAATTTGGGGGTCTGTCGTGACGGCTCAGTGGTTAAATCCTTGCTTTGCATGCACCAAGATCCCATAAGGGTGCCAGTTCATGTCCTGCCGGCTCCACTTCCCATTCAGCTTCCTACTTGTGGCCTGGAAAAACAATAGAGGATGGACCAGAGACTTGGGACACCTGCCCCCTTGTGGGAGACCCAGAAGAGGCCCTGGCTTTGGATTGGCTCAGCTCCAGCCACTGGGACCATCTGGGGAGTGAACCAACGGATGGAAAGTCTTACTCTCTGTCTCCTTCTCTCTGTATATCTGCCTTTCCAATACAAAAATAAAATCAATCTTAAAAAAGAAAGGAAGAAGGAAAGAAGGAAAGAAGGAAAGAAGGAAAGAAAGAAAGAAAGAAAGAAAGAAAGAAAGAAAGAAAGAAAGAAAGAAAGAAAGAAAGAAAGAAAGAAAAGAAAGAAAGAAAGACAATTTGGAGATCTGGCATGATGGCTTAGTCGTTAAATTTTTGCCTTTCATGTTCCAGGATCCCATATGGCCATGAGTTCATGTCCTGACTGCCCCACTTCCCATCCAGCTCCCTGCTTGTGGCCTGGGAAGGCAGTCAAGGACGGCCCAAAGCCTTGGGACCCTGCACCCATGTGGGAGACTTGGAAGAAGCTCCTGGCTCCTGGTTTTGGATCAGCTCAGCAATGGCTGCTGAAGCCACTCGGGGAGTGAACCAGCAGATAGACAATTCTTTCTCTCTGTCTTTCCTCCTCTCTGTAGATTTCTTTTTCCAATAAAGATAAATAAATCTCTTTTTTTTAAAGGGAAAGAAAATTTATTTTTTTTTCAAATTTTGTGTATCTTCTTATCAACCATCATCCAAAAATGAGTATTATGAAAATTTTATATAGTGTGAAATTGTATTTTTTCCTTAAATCTAGAATTGCAATATCAGAAGGAACTTCAAAAGCCTAGAGAAAATTAATTTTGTAATCTACATAGTTTTTTTTATAATATGCTTTTCCATGAGATTTTTAGAAATCCTACATCTATTTTTTATAACCTACTTTGTTTTACTTATTTATTTGATCTTACTAAAGCATCAGTTAGAAAACTTCAACCAGCATTTTATTCCACTTCTTTTTCAACCACTCTCATTTAGGTCACTTCCAGTTTTTCCTTCCTATAAATATCATTGCAATTAATACTTTTATCCTCCAATATTATTGACAGTTTCTGGTCATTTGCAAATAAATAGCTTGCTAAAAAGTGGAACTGCTGAGTCGAGAGAGCTGCGCCTTTTTTAAACTGTTGGTCTAAATTGTTAAGTTGCCATTTGGAAAACGGTGTCAGTATTATGCTTGCCCGGCAAGGGACATGCTTGTGTACCCAATCAGTCCTCACTGACATGGTGCATTTTCCTCTTTGCAAATCTCAGTGCAACACGCTCTGTCATCTTCAAAAAGTTCCTCACAGATACAAAACCTCTTACTGAGCTTTGGTGCTTTGTTTGGGTTTTTTTTTTTTTTTCTGAGTTGGCTCAATATGCTTTATCAGTGTTGATTTTTTTTTTCTTTACTGATTAGTACTAGTACCGTTTTTTTTTTTAATAAGATCACATATGAACAATGTTTTTTCCTTATGCTGCCTGCCCTTTTATTATTTTTTTTCTAAACTTCTTAGACCTTTTAATTCATCTGCACATTGTTCTCAGGTCGTCTCTTGCAAACCTATGGGAAACCAGAGTTCCAGCGGTCTGAATTCACAGCTTTGGGACTGAATAATCGTGTTTGATACTTTCTAGACTCTTCACAAATATGTAAATGATATATTTTTTTTAATGCAGTTCATCAAAAAGCATTGGATGATTCCATACCAGCACTTTATCATTAGGTGGTAGATTGTTGGTGTAGGCTAAATATCTGTCCTGTATGCTGTATAAGTATTTGCCAATTCAAATGTCGGGGACTGATATAGACTTCTATTTAGTTCACAATTGCTTAAGAATGGAAAGGAGACAAGTGAGCACTCCCACCCACGAGCAGGGTTCGGTGAGGCTCAAATCAGGAGACAGAAACAGTGTGCGTCTCTCCGAAGTCAATGGCAGGGACCCAAATACTTGAGCCATCAACTCCAGTTGCTAAGGGTGTGCGCCACTCGGGAGCTTAGTGGGAGCTGAGCCAGGACTCCCAAGCAAGGCGCTTCGATACGGGTTCCAGAAGTGACCACACCTTCACCTCTAAAATTTCATTTTCCATGAATTTATATAGATCAAGCATAGCCACAATAGATGTTTTTACTTGGGAATAATTAAGTTGTGCACCTGCCTGCAGAAACCCAGCAGCCTCCTGCAAAAAGTAGCGACTTTTCTAAGCCTCTTCCAGATACTTCGGCAGAGTTAGACTCATTTAGAGATCAGAGTTCTGATGTAAGTGTAAGGTTTCCATTCACACGTAGAGAACTGGGGATTTCTCGATTAGATTTCCATCACCTAGGGAGGAACATAGGCAGGTTTGGGGAGGTCCAGGTTGCCCTCGGGGGTTGTTCACCTGAAGGTAGAGGTGTGTGTGTGTGTGTGTGTGTGTCTGGTGTGTGTGTGTGTGTGTGTGTGTGTGTGGTGCTGCTGGTGGTTAAAAGCTCTGGGGGAACCTGAGATGGCTCAAGGAGCAAGGAGAGAAACCCTCGTGTTAGGAGGTGGGTAGAGCAAGAGCGACCAGCAAACCCGAGTCAGAGAGATGTGCAAGCACTGTGGTGACGGGTGAGGACAGATGCGTTAGACACCTCTTAGCTGTGTAACTTAGGCAGGTCCCTCGGCCTCTCTGTTTCTTTGCCCCAGCCTGAAGATACCATTCCTGCCTCAAAGGACTGCTGTGAGGGTCAAGGGGAAGGGGACCAAGGCTCAGGCTTCTGCCCGGCAGAGATGATGCTCTAGGAAGCTGCGGGAGCCTGCTGGGGCCAGGATCCCTGTAAGGGCCACAGGGGTGCTGCCAAATGGACACCAAGAGGACCTGTCCTGTGGGGTGTCAGGAGACTAGTAACCCTGCAAGTGGGACCCCACTGTTGCACTAGTTAGCCCCACTCTTAGGGCACAGGACCCCAGCATGTGGGTAAGGTAGTCAGTTCCTTTCTGCTCACTTCTTAGATCCCGGCCCAGCCTTCAGCCAGAGGCAGTTTTTTTCTCTCCAAGTTCTTTTCCTGAGGAATTTACACTATTAGAAAAAAAAAGCTGGAGGTTACATAACATCACTTTGCCCTAGGGGGGGGGGGGAAATCATATTAAATATCCACGCTTTCTATTCAACTTTGTTCAGAGTAAGTTACACTAGTTCCAAAAGAATTTTAGTAAGGTGATAGGTGGAAATTCTATACAAACATAAGGAATTTCAAACGTTTTATGGAGACCGCCCCGACGCACTCACCGGCCGCAGCACCCTGCACACCTCGCGCAGAATCTGCTCCTGGTTCTTCACCGAGCACAGTACCAGGGTGCAGACCACCACATCCACGGAGCCGTCGGCCACCTGCGGCATGCTCTCCCCAGCAGCCACCACGAAGTGCTCGAACTGCAGATGTCGGCTCTCGGCAACACTGTTGATCAGGAACTTCTCAAAGTTGGGGTTGGGATCTACACAGGTCACCCTGCACCCAGGCGGGTAGAACTTGAAGTTGGCCCCGGTGCCGCAGCCCACCTCCAGCAGGGACAGCTTCCCCGAGGTGCCCGCAAACTCCTGCAGGTTGCTGAAGAGCTCTCGCTTCTTGCTCCCCATCTGTTCATTGTACGTCACCGTGAAGCTCTTCAAGAAGTAGGGGAACCATTTTTTGCAGAACCAGTTCCACACGCCCAGGAAGTTCAGCAGATACATGGGCAGTGCCAAGCTGCAGACGACCAGCCTCAGGATGAGGACGCCGATCGCCATCCTGCAGGATCGCCCGGTGGGCGCTCACACACCTGCCGGGGGGTCGGAGGCTCCGGAGCTGCTCCAGAGCCAAGAGCACGGGCTGTGCCGGGCCAGGACGCCTCAAGTCAAGGCAGGGGCAAGCAGCCCATTTTGCCCAGTTAATGAACCTGGTTACAGTCTTGTATTCGCAATCTACTTTCGGCTTTCCCTCCTGAACCTCACTGCCGGCTTCCTGCGCGGGCAGGTCGTGTTTTATAGGCGTAGTTCCCTCACCCCGCCCAGATCCCCGAAACGACCCTACAAAGAAAACAGAACCTGTGGGCGGAGCCTGGTTGCGACTGCCCCTGGGAGGACTGTGTCTGAGATCACGCCTCCCTCCCCCGGCTCCAGCCAGAGAGCTGTGTCTGCAAAAGGAAGTGAAACGACACGCCTGCTTGGCCACAGACAAGTGGAATCCCGAGCTTTACACTCCGGGGGAAGCGCTCAGATGTTAATAACAACAAGAGGATTCCTTTAGACTCACTTTTTTGGAGCTAGTCCATCCTTTCAAACAGACAAGTCTTCAGTTTCCAATTGTGCCCAGTGACTTCATGACTCAGCTAATTTAGGTACAAATAGACCTTGGCACGTCCGTGTTTGAGAGCCTGAAGGACAACAGTTATCCTGTGTTTAACGAGTAAGCTGGGACTTCAGGATGGCCACGAGAATATAGACATCTTAAAAAATAAGGTGACGTTTGCTTTTTTTTTTTTAAACTGGTGATAGATGCAGACCGTTGCCCATTATTGATGATACTCTACACATATAAATACTGTGGTTTTTGGAAGATAAATGGGTGTACAGTAAGCGTTACCTGTTTCCTGTGTACCGTCTGACGTAGGTCTACACTTGTGAAACCGCTGCTTTGGTCCTCCCACCTGCCTTCCCAAAATTACCAGTGGCCTGCTTTCTTTGTTTGGATTCTCTATTCTTATGTAAACTGGACCAGAGAGCACATGCTTTCTTTGGCATAGTCCACTTTGCATAATCATTTTAAGAGTCATCGATGTTACGTGTAGCAATCGTTTTTATTCCTGTTATGGAATACATTATTTAGAGTAGTATTATTGTGTGTGTGTTTTTAATAAATTGCCAATCTGTTTTCCAAAAGGTATACCATTTTGTTTTCAACAAAAGTGTATGAGAGATTCAATTGCTCTACATTTTCAAAAATCACTTGGCACACAGCAAAACATTCTAAAAGATGTGTAACGAGCTCTCGTTGTAATTTTATTTTGCATTTCCCTAATAGTAACATGGAATATCTTTTAGTGGTATTATTTGCCACCTGTGTAAGAGGACTTCAAAATGTTCATGGAAAAACTCATTGTCGGTTTACTCCGCATGTGGCCCCAACAGCTGGGGCTGAACTGGCCGAAGCCAGGAGCCAAGAGCTTCCTCCAGGTCTCCCGTGTGGGGGCAGGGACCAAGCACTTGAGCCATCTTCTGTTATTCGCCCATATGTACTAGCAGGGAGTGGGGTTGGAAACTGCCCAGCCAGAACTCGAACCAGCAGCCTTATGGAATTGTGGCATTGCAGGTAGCAGGTTAACCAGCTGCATCACACTGCTGGCCCCAACATTTTACCATGGCACAGATCCCGTGGAAGGCGTCACCATAGCACCCAGGTTCACACGGGGAAAGCGCCAGGATTGGTCAGGGGAAAAAAGGAGTGAAAACAGCAGGCCTCAGCCCTCGTTGAAGCTTTCACGCAAAGTAAGGCAGAACAGAGTCAAGGGTTCAGGTTTGGCTAACTGGGACAACTGCACAGGCTGTGGGTGACAGCAATGAACTCATTTCCTGGGACCTGGCTCTGGGATGTTACAGGGCAGGAATAAGGCTGTGGTGAGTGAGTGCTGCAGAAGCTTCAGAGGAGGTTGGAGCCACAGAGGAGGGAGCCAGGCAAATTGTGATTATCCTTAGGATTAGCAAGGCCTGCGCTCTGGTCTTGCTACTTGTTACCTGTTGAATAGTACCACTAGTGGTGAATTAAGTTCTTGAATATACAGTGGATAAAAATTATGTCTGCACCAGAAATCTCTGGGGGTGGGGGGGATGAAATGGGACAGGTAGCAAGCTTAGGGGCACAAGCTGAAAGCCATGCCTCCCCCTCCCTGTGTAATTCCTTCTGCTTACTGTCAATCAAATGACTGCTCCCCCGGGATGTACAAACCCTGGGAGTGGTATCATGGACCCACCCCCTTTCCATGCTCATTAGAAGTCTGGCAATGGGGAGGGGCTTTCTCTGCCTTGCAGGGACACAGAATGGAAGGTAGAAATAAATACTTCTCTCCCCCATATTTCTCCTCCTGGACCACGTTGTCCTTGAACATGACCCAAATGCATCTGTGATTTCCTCGCCTTTTAAATGAACTTTATTTAAAAAAAAAAAAGTTATGTTTGCAAAGACTGATGAAGGAAGGGGAGCGAAGGAGGGCTTTGGGACAAGTGCAGGGGAGTGAGAGAAGTGTGTTTGTCTTTGTGAAACTGTACTTACAGAACCCATAAAATTTGTTCTCTTTTTATTACAAAACAAAAGCTAAGGATACTTCATAAAAATATTCTTTCCGTAAGAATTGGCCATCTTAACTAAGTTCGTGGTTTAATAATGTCAATTACATTCCAGACTTCAGTGCAGCTAGTCTCCATAATGCTTTTCCTGGTTTGCAAAACCTCCATACTAATTAGCAGCTCCCTGCTCTCCCACTCCCTAGCCCCTGGCAACTGCTCTGCACAGGCGTGTTATGCACGGATTTCAGAATTTTTCTAAACTTAAATATTGATCATATGGGTGAAGGGATTGCAGAACCCTAACAGGCCTCTGGCTGAATTTCAAAATTTTGGGGGCACTAAAATAAACTTACCTTTCATTCTGTTTTTCTATGAATTTTTTTTAAAGATTTATTTTTAAAATAAACTTACCAAGATTTATTTTTAAAATAAACTTACCTTTCATTCTGTTTTTCTATGAATTTTTTTTAAAGATTTATTTTTATTATTATTTTTTTATTGGAAAGGCGGATATACAGAGAGGAGAGACAGAGAGAGGAAGATCTTTCGTCCCATGGTTCGCTCCCCAAGTGAGTGCAACGGCCGATGCTATGCCGGTCCGAAGCCAGGAACTTCTTCCGGGTCTCCCACACGGGTGCAGAGTCCCAAGGCTTTGGGCCGTTCTCCACTGCTTTCCCGGGCCACAGGCAGGGAGCTGGATGGGAAGTTGGGCCGCCGGGATTAGAACCGGCGCCCATATGGGATCCCGGGCGTGCAAGGCGAGGACTTAACTAACCACTGCACCATCGTGCCAGCTTTCCATTTCTTAAGGAGCAAGTACTACTGGAGCTTTATGAGTGTTCTTGGCTGGAGTCATGTCTCCCGGAATTTTATAATCTTTCATATCGTTTCATGGTGACTTTTTATTTGAGGAAGTGATTATTTCTTCCAACATTTCCAGGTTTTCCTTGGTGGGGAAAGAACTTCCTAAATCAGTCCAGCCTGGATACTTAGTGAGGCAGCTATAGCACGTGCAGAGGAAGGGCGGGGGACTTCTGTCAGGATCTAGTCAGGTGTGGATGCTGTCCATGCTGTTAAGAGAAGGCTGTCGGCTGTGCTCCACAGCTGCCCCTGGTGTGGCAGACTGCAGGCTGGGCAGACTGGCTGCATTCTGATTGGGCAGGGCTGTCAGCTGAAGCTGAACGGGGTCATCTCCAGGATAGTGCTGTCTTGGATGTGTTGTTTTGTGAGGCAGGAGTGCTGGTCAAGCACTTGGCTTGTTGGGGCTACGGAAGGTACCCTGATGTTGAGCAGGGCCAGGGCCTGAGCTGCACGGTCAGGTGAGGCCTTGGGCTGGGCAACAGGTCATGCTGTGCAAGGAGCTGAAGACACCACTCAGATTCCTCAACTGATTCATTCATCTGGCTAAGATCTTCACCTGGCCAAACTGCTGACTGTGTTTCTCGCCATGAGGTGTGCAGGGGTGGAACTGCTGGCTGGACTCACCGGGCAGTCATGTAAGCGCATCATGACGGGCATGCAATGCCAGCACTCGGCTTTGTGGGCTGGTTGCTCTGAGCCCAACTCACCTTCCTTGTTCCTCATGGAGCCCATGTAATCTGGCCCTGCTGGTTGCCCCATGTTCCCCTCTGAGGCAGGACAGTGTGGGCCTCCTGTGAAGGACCCCCAGAACACTCTGGAAGCCAGATGCGTGCCTTAAGCCCTCTTTTCTCCTCTGGAGAGACTGAAGCCTCACAGGTTCCCTCTTGGAGTGTCAGTAAAGGCTCACACCTGAAGGCAAGTTAGAGCAGCTGCAGATTTAAACTCTAACTCGTACCTCCTGTGCCTCCCCTCTCCCCACTTCAATAATCAAGATATCAACTACTGAGTAGACTGTTACTAAGCCCTCCACTTTCCTCTGATTTCTTTTTTGAAAGAGCTGTTCATTTACTTGAAAAGCATAGTTACAGAAAGGGAACAAAACAGGGAGACAGATCTTCCATCCAGTGGTTCACTCCACAAATAGCCGCCGGCAGCCAGGGCTGGGCCCGGCCAAAGCCATGATCCTGGTTCTCCCTCCATGTCTTCCATGTAGGCAGCAGGGACCTAAGCGCTTGGGCCATCCTCTGCTGCTTACTCAGGCACATGAGCAAAGAAGTAGCTCCGAAGAGCCACTGGGACTCAAACTGGCCGCTCTATAAGATGCTAGCCGAATGTGCAGCACAACACCAGCTTCTACTTAAAAAAAAAGAAAAGAAAAAGATTGATTTTTTTTTTCTTTTGCAGAGTCAGATAAAGAGAAAGGAGGAGAGACAGAGAGGAAGATCTTCCATCCAATGATTCACTCCCCAAGTGACCTCAATGACAGGAACTGAGCCAATCCAAAGCCAGGAGCCAGGAGCTTCTTCTGGGTCTCCCACACGGGTGCAGGGTCCCCCACACGGGTGCAGGGTCCCAAGGCCTTGGGCCGTCCTCGACTGCTTTCCCAGGCCACAAGCAGGGAGCTGGATGGGAAGTGGAGCAGCTGGGATTAGAACTGATGCCCATCTGGGATCCCGTGGCATGCAATTAGCCACTAGGCTACCAAGCCAGGTCCCTTTCCTCTTCTTTCTTTGTGATACTGATGATGACTGTCTTCATGGAAAAGACAGAGTGGTAAAAACTCAGCGAGTTGCTCACTTATCGACACCAAGAATTTTTAGCACATGAGTCATTGT